ATAGAGTCACTGCTTTGGTTCCACATTATCTTAAGTAAATACGGGGATGTGTTCTCTTTTATGACTCCCAAATAGTGTTTTCTATTTTGGAGAAATTTATTACATCTCAGCTTTCTGTAATGGACCGGTCACATCCACTTACTGAAGTGTACCCTGCCATTAGTGGTTTGGTCATAGAAAGGTAATTGAATGGACTTGATTGAAATCCTGTAGCATAATCCAGTTGTCCTGGGTGTTGTGGAGAGCTTGGGTATATCGGCTCCTATTCTCTGCTGCTTGGATCTCTCTGTAAAATTTGGCATGTTTTATTTTTCTCATCGCTCAAGAAAATGTCTTCATTCTGTGAAGGTAATCTGACTATAGAGTTTTGTTCTACTTTGATTGTGTATACGAACCAGATACTGATGTGTGCTGTATTATTGGGTGTGTGAATCGAAAAGATACTTAGGTAGAAATAATTATCCCAAGATTTTCTCTTTTTCAAAACATTGACGTGTGTGTTGACCATCTGTAGATTACAGAGGAAGACCTTTTCAGTTAGAAAATCTTGGTTATTTCAAGTGTTTTTTAAAGGATGAGATCTGTCATTTCCACAGTTAAATAAAAATACTTTAAATGTAGAATCACTACACTGGGTATTTTTTACCTTTAGGTTTATTTTAGAGGTGCCCCTCATTTGTGTTACCTGGTTAATAATGAAGAAAATTAAGGTTCCACAGAGTCAAGAAAAAATAAGTAACAGGCTTTTGCACTGAGCAAAGTCATACGTTCTTCTGAGGAGATCGGCTAGACCAACAGTCTTAAGAGCTGGGCTTCTGAATTCCTGCTGTCTGCACTGTTGTGTTTACTTCACAGTCATTTTTATACAAAAGCATAGACACAGGGGATAAATGGTTATTTGTTTTACAATTCTCAAGGTATCACTGAAGTTGGGTACAGTAAAAATATTTTCAGACTGTCCTCTTATGCTTTTTTGTCACGGAAGAAGAGAATTGTACAAAAGCCATTAACCCCTCTCTCCGATTTTGTGTCCTCAGAGGCAAGGAGCTGCCCCCCCTCCGATGAAGCTGCCGCCTCCTTACAAAGCTCCAGCCGATGACAGTGACGAAAATGCAGAAGAATGTGCCCCGACCAACGGTGAGTTCCTCTGCGCTATTCCGGGTAGACGCAGAATTTATGAAATTATGCTTTAATGACTTATAAATTATCAAATGGGAGGCTTATAAATTATCAGAAATGGGCACGAACATATGATGGAAAGAAAATCCGTGTCTGTGAAACTTCTGTGGCTTCATTTCTTAAGCTTTTCTCCTCGACACCGAGAGAGAAGATGGTGAAGGAGGCTGTGCTGGGTGCTATTTTTCGTATATTATCTCCTAATTATCCTGTTTGGGCATGAATACAGAAATTCTCAGAAATCCTTGAAATGGGAAGTTGTCCCATAATAAATCCAAGTTGTTCGTAGACGTCAACTCTAGATTACTAGTCTTACCTAAAGTGACTTGGACGCTGCTAGTGAAAGATTGCAGAGGGGCCCACCAAGGCATATTTTTGGAAATGCATTTCATGTTTATTTTAACATTAGCTGCATTAAATATGCATTCATAGGTATATATATATATATTTTTTTTTTTTTTGAGACAGTGCCTCAAGCTGTCCCCCTGGGCAGAGTGCTGTGGCATTACAGCTCACAGCAACCTCCAACTCCTGGGCTCAAGCGAGTCTCCTGCCTCCGCCTCCCAAGTAGCTGGGACCACAGGCGCCCGCCACAACGCCCGGCTATTTTTTGGTTGCAGCCGTCATTGTTGTTTGGCGGGTCCGGGCTGGGGATTCAAACCCGCCACCTTAGGTGTACGTGGCTGGCGCCTTAGCCGGTTGAGCTATAGGCGCCGAGCCATTCATAGGTATATTTTATGGAGGGTTTATTCCTTTCATTTATATGTGAACAACGTATGTGTTTGGACCTGATTGCCAGCGTATGTGCAGGTTTTCTTTGGGGAATAACAAAAAATTTTACAAAATTAGATATTGGGGATGTTTGTACAGTTTGGAGCTATGCTAAGAACCACTGACTGATACATTTTCAATGGGTAAATATGATATGTGAAATGTATATGTTTCTTTTAAAAAATGTTTCCTTTTCTGCAGTATAGAAAATAAATTTGATACAGAAGGTGAAAGAGTTGAAACTCTAACTTTAGCAGTTCTTGAAGGGAGACCTGAAGTCTACACTCAGCATATAAAAAGAGCATCATAATAGTACCTGGTATTCGGAATTGTAGTGAGGATTAAAATAAGTAGCCTGCCACATAGTAAGTTGTCCACAAATATAGGCTCTTCTTATTGTTTTAACAATTATTATTAACATTATACTTTTCTAAATGTCATAACAAACACAAATAGAAGATAAAAAAATAAATGCAACTTCATACTAATTAAGTTGGCTTTATAAGAACTTGATTTGTACTTGATTTGAACTTAAACTTGATTTGAGTTTAGAGAGCCTTCCTATGTCATCATTTTCTTCACTTCTTCAGCAAATCTTTGTCGAATACCACCTGCTTTTGAGTAACAGTGTTCCTTGAGTCTGCGATGGGGTAAAGGAAACACAGCTTGTTTATTCCGGTGGAGTCATCAGCCTGAAAAAGAGAACACCAAGGCCTGGGGATAAAATCGGACACGTGTACTGTAGTGCTTTCATTCTCGGCCTGTTTTTGGAGAGCTATGAATGACGGGCACAGTTGGTGTGTGTGTACACGTGTGTAATGCACTTCTGTATTCTCATGTAGTTATTTGGGTGACTCCCGCAGAATGGGAATAGAGTGATGATGATTTATGATTTCTGGATGTTGGAATGCCGGTATTGGCCTGGTTATGAGGAGAGCTGGGTTAGGTGTGCACCTGCGACCAGTAGTGTGAGTTCCTGGACGAGTTACCTGACGTCTGCACGGTTCACGCTTGGTTATCGATAAGGGGCCAGCGAACGTCTTCTCATAACCTGCCTCATGGGATTGTGGTAACGGTCGGAGAAGGAAAAGCACTTGAAGAGCCAAGGGTGAGAATCGTGGTACCTAGTAAGTGGTTTGCCATGTGCCGGGCATTGTTCAAAAGCCTTTACGGGGCGACACCTGTGGCTCAAGGGTGCAGGCCGCATATTCTGGAGGTGGCGGGTTCAAACCCGGCTCCAGCCAAAAGCTGCAAATAAATAAATAAATAAAAGACAAGCAATAACAAGTGCTACTTGTATTTAAAAAAAAAAAAAAAAGCCTTTACGTATATTATTAACTCAGTCAGTGTGAGGTTTCTAGTTACACAAATAAGGAGATAGGCCCAGAGCAATTAAGGGTTGTACCCAGAGTCGTGTAGCTAATAGTGGAAATGGGGGTCCATCCCAGGCTCGCTGACTGCAGAGGCTGTGTCCTCATCTGTACTTGCTGTGACTTAGAGCCTGTTACTCGAGCAGAAACAGGGCAGAGTGATTATTTGGGGTTCTCTTCTGAATGTAGCTTTTAGGCCCCAAGATACAGGGCCAGTTTCCTCCCCAGAGGTCAGTCTCACATGCACAGACACACACACACACACGACTCTAAACACACACACACTCACACACACACACACACGGCTCTAAACACACACACACACTCACACACGCACCCGGCTCTAAACACAGAAGAGGTCCTAATACTTAACATCACACACTTCACAGCGCCTCCAGCACACCGTGTGGGCTGCGTACGTGACTCTCCGTCCGTTTTGATTCTCTTCCCATTTTACATCCTATCAAGTTTACTGTGAACTTTCTCCAGAAGCGTTGGCAGTGAATTGGGGGTGTGTGTTAGATAGAGCATATTTAAAATGCAGGTGAGCCTAATGCCTCCGGCCTCCCATGTTTCCTTTTGAAGTGGATCCCATGGGTTCTACTTTATGCCTTACCTCTTATTAAATGAATTCTCGGTGCAGCTGTGTAGAGCTGAGGAGGCTGGTCACTGTCTCAGCAGATTCGTATTGTCCAAAGGCTAAGCGTCTGTTTTCACAGGGGTGAAATCATAGGATTGCCTGACTTTTCCAAGGTCGGTGTCTGTGAAATAGCTGGGTTTCAAGCCATAGAACCCCAAGATCTCAGACATGAGGTACACAGGATTTTAAACAGTGTTAAAAGGCTTTAGCAGTTGCTTAATTATGAAGCACATCCAGTCAAGAAATGTTCATTGTGTGGGCGTAATGGGGGCTCCGACACTGTCCTAGAATACACAGCAGGGAAAACTGGCCCTCTCTCATTATCTTAGATTCTGCAGGGAGAGGAAGATTGGAAACAGGAAGGCAGCTTTACGTGGTCAAGAGTACTATGAATAAAATAAAAGAATAAGATTAAAATACATTTTAAAATTGCCTCCTCCAAGGCATTTATTCTGAGGTTGAATTCATACAGCTCAGGTCCCTGTGCAGACTACGACCCACTGGCGTCTTCTAACCCGGTGTGGACAGGCACGTGTGTGCACACAGGGATGTGAACGTATCAGTAAAACAAGCTCATGAAATATTGCTTATCGTGATAAAGTGATGAATTTTATTCTTTAACTCTTCTATTCTGTTTCATACTTTAAAATGTTTGTTGCAACTGAGTTTATTATGTGACCGGCAGATGAGTTGCAACCAGCATTACAAAAAGCCCCGATGCAGATCCGAGGTCTTCAAACTGCAGGGTGCATCAGAAGTCCCAGGAAGCCACTTTCAGACACTAACTGATGTGCTATACCCTCGATTTCTGATGTCTTAGTCTGGGAGGATAATTTACATTCCTAGTGAGTCCCCAGTGATACTCACACATCAGTGCAGGGACCATGATCTGAAACCACTCTAGATAGTCACAGGAGCCGAGGAGTTTACGTAGGAATGCTGTGTGCTCGGCAGCAAGGAGCAAGCCTGGCACCTGCCTCAAGAGCCACCAAAGGAGCGTCCTAGTGTGAGGAGGACGTCAGGAGATGATGGCAGTGTGGAGTTCACAAGAAAACGGTGTTTCAAGAGGACTTCGCCACTTACCTTCCCAGTGTCCAGCTGTGTGTGGGATGCCACCGAGAGGTCAAGGAGGAGGCTGGAGACATAAAAGTAACTGTTAATTCAGCAACAGGGAAGTAATGAGGAAGGAGCTTGATAAGATAACCATAGTCATTATTAAGATGATTGTAAGAATTAAATATTTTAACCAGTATACAAAGTGTGTTATGTAATAGGCATTTGTATTTTAGATCAACTTGGATAGTTGAGCATATTTTATCCTGGAGTCTAATTATCGTAAGAAGTCTTATAACCATCAGTTGAACTAAAATTGCTTGAATTTTGAGAATTATAAAATAAGATTGTATATGGTAGCTCATGCCTGTAGTCCTAGCACTCTGGGAGGCCAAGGTGGAAGGATCACTTGAAGCCAGGAGTTTGGGACCAGTCTGGGACAAACGTGAGACCCCCATCTCTACTAAAACTAGAAAACTAGCTTGGCACAATCGTGCATACCTCAGGAGGCTGAGACAGGAAGAGCGCTTCAGCCCAGGAATTGGAGATTGCAGTGAGCTCTGATGATGTCAATGGCCTCTAATAGTGCTGACAGAACAAGACTCTGTCTCAAAACAAAAGAAAAAAAAAAAAGAATTAAGATACGATGTACTGGTTTGGTGCCTGTAGCTCAAGCGGCTAAGGCGCCAGCCACATACACCAAAGCTGGCAGGTGCAAAATCCAGCCCAGGCCTGCCAAAAAACAATGACAGCTACAACCAAAAAGTAGCCAGGTGTTGTGGCAGGTGCCTGTAGTCCCAGCTACTTGGGAGGCTGAGGCAAGAGAGTTGCTCAAGCCTAGGAGTTGGAGGTTGCTGTGAGCTATGATGCTACAGCACTCTACTCAGTGCAATAGCTTGAGGCACTGTCTCAAAAAAAAAAAAAATACGATGTACTTCATCAATGCTTAGTCTAGCGGTTCTTAACCTGTGGGTCCTAACCCCTTTGTAACAATGAAAATATATCCTGCATATCAGATATTTACATTACAATTCATAACAGTAGCAAAATTACAGTTATGAAGTAGCAATGAAAACAGTTTCATGGTTGGGGGTCACCACAACATGAGGATCACAGGGTCACAGCAT